TCTCCAAGCGGTTAGACGCAATGATATGGACACGTTGCAGAAATATGAAAAGTACATCATGGTGAAGTCGTATAACTGCGACGATTTTGTCAAGAGGTCGCCAGCGATGCCAAAACCGATATACGTGAAGGGCTGGTCGAAATTATAAGTTTCTATTCAACAAATCCTTATAGAATTAGCTGAACAGCTTTGGAAACTGCTGAAGGATAATTGGCCAAGATACATTATTGATCAAATCCAGTCCTGTTTGTATTCACGCCTTCAAAACACATGTTCATATGGACCGGTAAGAAACTCCTTAACTTCTGGCTACTGATGGAAGTCCAGGTCTATCTTCGAGGCAGTTGCAGCTAATTTTCTTGATGTTCTCCGTCTGAGTAATTTGTTAATGTATCTTTTAATTTAACAAAAGTGTAATTGATAATTTTATATATGTACTCTACTCAACGTCGTTTGGTATGCAGGTAAGGTAAAGATTGGTTCAGTTCAAAGATCACTCATCGTCATCATCAACAGCCTATAGATACCCACTGCTGAGCAAAGCCTCATCTCACTTTTTTTTGTCAAATTTCCGTGGTGCTTGGCGATTGGGCTTCACCCAGTTGTACAGTTTCTTTTTGTGCCTTCAGGCTTAATTCATTCTGTCTCCTGCAGTAATTCACCGAGGGAAGTGAAAACTATCGTTTTTTTTTCTTATCCTCTTATAATATTTTCTGATTCACTTCGGGGCCAAGACAGTTAATCATGTCCCTGGGACGCGCCGGACTTCAGTGTTCCGGTGTTTTCATGGTTGTATCTACTGTAGATCCAGGCTTACAGGAGTTGCAGCGGTTTTGGGAGGTTGTGGCGGGCTTGTCGCATAAAAAAAGCCTCTTCTCACACGGAGAAGGTTTGAGCTCAACTCACTACGCTTGCTCATTGCGGGTTGGCGATTTCAAACTTATAATTAGAAATTATAAGCCCAGGTTTCCTCATGATGTGTTCCTTCACCGTTTGTCAGTGGTGTCTAAATAATCTTAGAAAGTATATATTATAACTCGGAAAATGTCACATTGGTACTTGCCGTTGGTACCTTTGTATAAGAAGCGGGCGTCTTAACCTCCGGGCAACCACAACACACAAAGATCACGACCATTGATTGTGCTTAACTATTAAACCGAACGCCAGGTACAGAATTTTGGCTCCGTTAAGAAGCAGTCAATAACCTTAGCTATTGTCTCTGTACTAAGTCAGTCTTTTTTTTGACGAAGAAAACCTTCTAAAGACGCTTTTCTTTATGAGAAGACTAGGAAGTGTTTGCATCTTGACTAACTAAAACCTCCCTGGTGACCACCATTTTTCTTTTTTTCTTTTTTTTTAAATTCGCACCTATAAGGGTCACCGGGTCCTCCTAATAGACCTGTTGGACTATTCTGTTATTGTCATTTTTTTGTTGTGAGCTCAATTGCATTCTCGCCTATCATTAATCGAGGTTATTCTTAGTATGAGTCTTAACTCTTTACCAATGATATGGTGGACCGCGACCAAGTTCAGTTCGATCTTTCAAATTAATAGTTAGAGAATTTTCTAGCTGCTCCGAAGCTCCTAAGCCTGGTCGTAATAAGGGTTACGCCGTAAGAGCTCATGGCTTGGCTCTGTAGGAGGATGGCCGTAGCCAGAGGCGGATCGAACCTAAAGGGCGCCCTAGGAAAGCACCTCATAGGCGCCCCTAATTTTTTTGGCGCCCCGTTACTTTGTGACCACGCGGGTCTCGTAGCGCCCTCTGCAACCTGGCGCCCGGCACTTGTCTAGTTTGCCTTAAAGATAATACGGCTCTGGTTACGGCACATTCCAAGAAAGACCCGAGTGAATAGGTTGCTTATGGGACGACGTGCTCCATCGTAGACCGCATCATCGCTTACCATCAGGCGAGATACTGGTCAAAGGTCGGCCCATTCGTCAGTCAGTTCAAGTCCGGTCAGTTCAATATAAAAAAAGTCGTACGTCTCCCTTGAACGTCATTGTACACGGTAGTACGTCATCACTGTGCCATCGTCTTCCTTGAGATCAAAAAGAAGATTTATTCTCTTACCTGCATACCAAGTACTTTAGGTAACTGTACTGTAATACTTTTAATTTTATCTGAAGTGAAAGAACCTGGGTGTCTTCAAGGCCCGAGTGAATAGGTTGCTTATGAGACGACGTGCTCCATCGTAGACCGCATCATCGCTTTCCATCAGGCTAGGTCAAACGTCGGCCCATGCATTAAAAAACTGTCCATACGAGTCCATCTGACTGACTGTTTTGAAAATTGTCTGTTAATACATAAATATTATAGTGTTCTGTATATGAAACTAATGAATAATACTTATTCAATTAGTCAAAATGCCGCTGAATTGGGTACTGGCCTTAATCAAAAATAAATTATTTCGACTGTTCAATACAATACAATATTTAATAAATAATCACACTTTCATTAATTGATTTTATGACCAACTTAATTTTAGTATATTTCCAGCAAATTTTAAAGAAACAAGTATACTGTTTGAAGCTAAAAATCGTGACGTCACAATACACAATCTCGTACAAAATTCATAGAATACTCTCGTTTTTGACAGTTCGAAAAATGTATTGAATTTGACTAGTTGGCGAGTACACAATTAAGTCACGCTTAAATAAATGCAGTGTCACCACAATTAATTATTTCTAAAATGATAAAGATGTTATAATGTAATTAAATTACATTTTAATTAATGAAATCATGTCACAGCTATTTTTTTAATATTGTATGACGTATATCATAGAAATATTATCATTATATTTATGCTAAAGATGTACGGTCAAAGGTCAAAAGTCCACCGTAAGACTACTATCGGTTGCGCTGCAGCGCTTATACACACATACAGACGCATATTTGTAGCCGTGTACGTACGCGTGCGTGTGTTTATACGTACGAACGCGTTTTTATGCACATTAATATGAAATTGAACATCACTTACGGTGGCCGGTGGACTTTTGACCTTTGACTGTACATACACTTGGGAGCAAACAATCGGAGGCACTAGTGTTTTGTCTATTTCATTTCTTGATAATTTTTTTGATATTAGTATTTTATTAATTGGTAACGTAATTATGTCGTTTATAAGGCAATTTAGTTACTTAAAATGAGAGCAATTTGTTGTAAAAGGAATATTATTTTTAAAGTTATAGACGGTTCGATAAAATGAATAAAATCGGTAGTGTGTCTATTTTTTTGTTCCCAAGTGTAGATTTATAATAAAATATACCTATACTGAGATATAAAAATATTATTATATTATAATGTTAATTATGTATTATTCTTCGGTACTTTATCTTCATTAAATAAATATCTTGATGTTAAAATATCTGTTTTATTTTATTATCTCCAGGCTCCTAACTATTATCAGACCCATATAGTCATAGGCATCGACATATACTCATGGACATGCCGTACGCGTATAATCTGCAGTAATTTTTTGATTTGAAAAGAGTGAGAGAGATGGCATATGCTTTCGGTCTAGCGCTATCTCTTTCTCGCTCATAACGTCTAACTACGGTACTATTTTGAGAGAGATAAAGTAAGACCGAAACTTCGTTTCCTCTCTTTCTTTCGGAGTGCCACAATTCTCATCTCTAAGGCATGTCCATTAGTATATGTTGATGGTGATAAGTATCCATACGGTTGCGACTCTGAGCGTACGGAGCGTTCCGAGCGCACATCTCAAAGAGCCATCAGACCACCACGGATGGGGCCCAATAGGGCTGATGCCGATACGGAGCCGCGAAGAACCTAACAGGTTACCGGAGCTCCGGCTCGAAGTGCAGGAGTAGGAACGGGGTGGTTTTTAGTCAGGAAAAGTCTGACACTCCCTCTCGCCTCACCCAGGCGGGAGAAGTCATTCAATGATTTTCCCCCCTTAAAAAAAATACCGTTACGACGTGAAAGACCAGTTTTATGTTTAACCGACTTCAAAAAAGAAAGATATACCTACATATGTATGTATGTCTGTATGTTTGTGCGTGGTTATCACGCGGTTGGCTGAACCGATTATGATGCGGTTTACAGAAGTGTTTGTTACAATTAGCAGCAAGTTTTCGTATATCATAATTGACCGACTGCAAAAAAGGGGGGTTGCAGTTGATTTTTTTAAACGTAGCTTATGAAAGAATTATTTTATGGCATATGCCGTTGCATAAAGCAGAGAGGTTCTACCGCCATGTTAAGTTGACTATATGACTATATTTTTTTTATGGGATAACTCGGTAAACGAGCAGACGGATCACCTGATGGTAAGCAATCAGCGTCGCCCATGGACACCAGGAACACCAGAGGCGTTACAAGTGCGTTACCGGCCTTTTGGGGTTAGGAATATGAGGATTGTTGGGATTGAGCATTGGAGGAGGCGGGATCGACGCTCGTTTGACGAACGTCTCCTAAATTTTAGGAAACCCTTAAGCTAAGGTAAGTGGTAAATACTTAACGTTTTGATTTCCACCATAAGTAGTGACACTATAATGTACCTCTACAAGAAGTGGTTAGTTCTCGCTAAGTCACGCTAAGTTTCTTTACGTAACATAACATCACGGCTTTTATCCCCGAAGGGGTAGACAGAGGTGCACATTACAGCACTTAATCATTAATGCCGCTGTACAATGTAACTCCCACTTTTCACTATTTATGTTATGAGTCCCATGTAATAGGGGGTGAGCCTATTGTCATATACAGACATAAACCTTTGATTCGTTTTATCTAAGTATCGTTTTATTATATCTACAACAAAAAAAAATACTTGTCTAATATTTTTTCATTACGTAACTTACGGACTAATTAGATTTTTATTTTTAATACCCTGTCATCATCGCAATTAGCATCGTGATTTTTTGCGTTGCGAATTCGCATCGCTCGCAATTTTTTGTACGAGTTCTAAGATATAGTTTAGCGGGTGGTTGGTGAAAACAGCCATGACGGTCGGGTAACTAAATAACAAAAACCATTGCCTTTACATAAAATATATTCGTGAATTTCGCCATAGATATAAATATTTACATTCACAATTTCTCAAATAAAAACTTCTGTGTGATATCAAAACACCAACGAGAGAGACTGGATCTGCAACAAAAACAACGTCAGATTAACTTGGTCATCATTCACCACCCCTACTCTTCCCGCGGGTGGCGTATACCCGACTAAGGGACTACGCATTTGACAGAGACCGGGCAGCAGTGCACTCACTCAATTTTAAGTTATATTTCAGTAGTTTCAGCGTGGTTGACGGACAAACATCTAAATAATAGACCTTCACATCTTTATATATAATTATAATTCTTCTGTGAGTGTGTATGTCAAACTGAACTGAACTTCTCTCAAACGATTGGACCGATTTTGATGAATTTTTTGTGTGTGTTCAAGGGGATCTGGGAATGGTTTAGATTCACAAATCAGCCCGGCAGATGGCGCTGCAGTCGATGTTTAGGTTATTTATCCTAAACAGCTGAACTAATTTGAATGAATTTTTGTTTATACATACATTCAAGTGGATATGCAGGACAACGTCTGTTGGGTCCGCTAGTATATATGTATAATATTAGTGTGAAGCAGGGAACCCGGGACTGAATTTGAAGAGTTTTGGGCACAGGGAACAAAGGCTGTGAACTGAACTGCTCTAAACCGTGGCGGAGCTGGGTATATTTTACCCACTATCCTTGAGTCGCGGAGAACCTAACGGGTAACCGGGGCTCCGGCTCGACGTGCAGGAGAAGGAACGGGGTGGTTTTTAGTCAGTAAGAGTCTGACATTCCCTTCCGCCTCACCCAGGCGGAAGCAGTCATTCGATGATTTTCCCCCCTTAAAAAAAAAATCCTTTACATAATGTTTACCTGCCAAAATTTTTGTAGTTTTAGTTTTTAAGACACGAAATGTTAACGTTTTCGGATGGGGTAGCGACGATCGCAGCGCCTGCATCGCTTGAAGGACCCGGATCGGGAGCGACATCGGTAGGTATACCTGTGAGGATAAACAAAGTAACAATTCAATAAATAGTTACATTAGATTTGCATTTACACAAAATTTCAGCTCAATCGGTTGAAGATATCTGCTTCAAAATTCAGTTGCAAAATCCACTTCACACTCGCACACACTACAAGTTAAATAACAGCTAATAAAATGCTAGCATCTGCCAGCAGCTTCGTCAGCGTCCCCGAGGAATTAAAGTTGCCCACTGACTATAATCTACCCCTCTTCAATAGAGCTGATGACGATACGGAGCCGCGAAGAACTTAACGGGTTACCGGGGCTCCGGCTCGAAGTGCAGGAGTAGGAACGGGGTGGTTTTTAGTCAAGAGTCTGACACTCCATCCCGCCTCACCCAGGCGGGCGCAGTCATTCAATGATTTTCCCCCCTTAAATAAAAAAAACCCTGTTCCAAATTTCATCCTGTACTCTTCAGCCGTTTTGACGGATTTGAGTTACAAACAGACAAACACTGGTTTGAACGAAATATAATATTTACATACATGCATATTGTCAGGTCTTTCATTCAGCAGGGTGGAAAGAAGAGGACACATCACGTTTGGCGATGTAGGTGGGTGCTGGTGGACCACTGCGCAATATGTCGCAGATTAGACTCCCGAACACGTGTAGTGGTTTCGATGCAAGCACGGAACTACTCTTTGTGTGATCCACAAATTGTTGTTCCGAGTCTGTGTGTCATGTGTATATGTGCGAGCTGTGTTACCCTTATGGGCTCGTACACAAAACTGCGATGCGACATCGTATCGCATAAATGTGCGAGCTCCCTCTACGCATCGCGCATCAAAATCTTATCTTCCCAAAATCTTCTTTGTTTCTTTTTCCTGTATCTCATAACATAACATAACATCACGCCTTTTATCCCCGAAGGGGTAGGCAGAGGTGCACATTATGCCACTGTACAATGTAACACCCACTTATCACTATTTATGTTATGAGTCCCGTGTAATAGGGGGTGAGCCTATTGCCATATACCGGGCACTATTCCAGACTCCGTGCTACTACTGAGATTTTTTTTTTTAAACCCTGTAATACTTTGCCCGACCCGGGAATCGAACCCGAGACCCCTTGCCCGGCAGTCGCACTTGCGACCACTCGGCCAACGTGGCAGTTTCCTATATCTCCTAAGCAATAATAAAAGTGCACACTTCTTTTTACGATCCATGTTATGACCTAATTTTCAATTTAAAATATGTTTATTCCGGTTGACGGTCGTCGAAGGAATGATCACCCTGGGAGACGCCTTGTCGCATGAAATCGCATCGCAGCAATTCGTGTCGTAATTTTCTGCGTTGCGAATTTGCATCGCATCGCAGTTTTGTGTACGAGCCCTAAGGCAAACTAGGCAAGTGCCGGGCGCCAGGTTAAAGACGGGCGCCGCGAGACGCGCGTGCCCAATTGCGTGAGAGTAGCGGTGGCACCAAAAAAAAAATAGAGGTGCTAATGTGGTGCTTGTCTAGGGCGTTCTTTATGCTTAATCCGTGTGTGTTTAGAAACGCATACACGATTCATTAGACAATCCTAGCATGGGAGAATCTAGACCTGGGTGCTTACTCTTGAAACCAATCTCAATGTCAATGCAATTTCAATAATTATTCAATGTCAAAACTATACAACCACTATCATAGCTGTTACAATAGCATTCAAAGTACGAAATGTAAAACTAAACTCAATACCATTTAGTTCATTAAACATTCACGCAATACGGTTGTAATGGGCGCTAGTTTTGCAACTCAAAAGTACAAAATTTCGCAAAACTAATGTCGATTGATCGGAATTGGATTCAAGAGTAAGCCTCAGGAAAGCACCTTTGAACATCAAACAAAAATATTAAGTGTCAGTCCTCTAGTTGCTCTATTTGCTCGTTCCAAAGTGTAGATTCCTATGTGGAAGAACGAGCAAGAAACTCCATAGGTTACTCTTTCTCAATCAGGTTTACAATATAATTCTTATTTACATAATATTCTAGTGGTACATTATGATAAAAAATACATGAAGATTTTTTGATATCCCATAGCTAACTCTAAGATACAAATGAGGTCCAATAAAATATACAAACTATTCTATGGAGTTTGTGGAGAAAAAGTCTAATGACAGAATTTAAAAATAATTAAAATTGATTATAATGTATGGAACGAACTAACCAATGAAACGATGTAGTGTCAAACTATACTATTGTAGTGCTTCCAAAGTTAATATATTATAATTTTTTGTTTATGCGAAATACGAAACAGGACCAAAGGCTAAGTAGGAAATCGTCTTGCGTTCACCAAGACCGAAAAGTTACCACAGTCAGCCGTCTGATTGGTTGCTTGAAGTAAGCCAATCCTGCAGCTGTAGCCAAATGCCATTTAGCGCTTGTCTACATGTAGAATAGAAAACTAAATTATACGGAATTGACGTAAATTTTGACACTTGTCAATGTCATCCCCATACATTTAGATTTCTACTCTCTCTGTAGACAAGCGCTAAAGTGGCGTTTGGCTAAAGGCACAAAGCGCCGAACGCGGTATCATTTCGATCTCGCTAAAGCCCTCTGGGTTTTTCTCATGTCGTTCCTTCAGAGGGCCACAAAAAGTTTTTATTGAAGTACGTAAACGCAATATCAATATTTCAATATAAAAACTCTTTGGACTCTATTCTAAACATTCTGGTATTGCATAAACAAAAAAAAATAGGTGAATGGTTAAAAAAAAAAGTGTAAAATCGTCTTACGTGAAATTTCGAACGATGAGGTGACTTTTCTTTGCATCGCAGCTAGAAGATGCTCAACACCTAGACCTACACACATAAATATATTTTTTACATTGGCAACACTTACTTATAAGCATGCATTGTGAAATTTATATCGTTATCGTCCTGTGGCAAAATAACTTGCCTTAAGGAAGAAATACTTTCGGTGTAGGTATAAAGTAAAAAAAAAATAAAAAAAAATAATGTGGTTTTTTTAATTTGATTTGCGCACATGAAACACTAGATGTAAATTTGTAGGCACAATTCGCATCGCACGTGTCACCCGACGAGAAATACCTCTTCGAGAATGACATGGCGTGATGTTTTGATAATGTACTATGAGTTCGTATGCGCTTTCGAAGTTTGCTTTTTGCAATGTTTCACCAGTTATTTTTATTTCTTTGTAAAACTATTGTATTACCGATACAGAATCATTTTACTTCGGGACGAAAACGAAATAGATTTCACTTACTACGAATCAAATCAAATAACAGCTGTTTAAATGAAACGCCATATCGGTCAAAATCGGTTAAAAATCATCTGATTTTGACAGCAATCGACGTTAAATATTTCAATATTTGTTTTTCCACGCTACGTCTTTTAAAGTTATGGGATATCAAAAATAAAAAATCGCTATAAGTAAACATTGTTTCTTCGAAATTCATTGACAGAAACACAAATCTATAGCTCGACTAATTTCGAAGCACACACAGAGGCCTTAGTACGAGTTTGTATTACGTTTAACTCGTCGAGTACCGGTTTTGTAGACACAATTATAAAACAATAGGTTGCGGTCACCGGTGACCGCTTGGTGTTTGACAGTTTAAAGTATTAAAACCGAGTACGCGTTCGGCGCTGATTAGCCGGCGCCAATGAATCAACCAAACCTGAGCGCCGAATACGTCGAGTACGTAGTACGAGTTTGATTTACGTTTAAAGTATTCGAAACGAGTACGCGTTTGGTAATCTGATTGGCCGGCGCCAAAGAACCAACCAATCAGAGCGCCGAACGCGTACTCGTTACGAATACTTTAAGCGTAAAACAAACTCGTACTAAGGCCTCAGAACCTGTATAACCTGGTCTTGCTTTGTATAATCTTTGCGTACACTCAACGGTCAGTTTATACTGGTTTTGCTTAGCCTAGGGTTTTAATACCTGGATCGCCGACGACAACTCCTGCGTCTACGCTTGCAACGCCGCGGCTTGCAGCATGGCTGCCGCACAGGGTACCTCCGGTCACAGCGGCGACATTTCTTGAAACGTCCAGTCTTAGTACGACAGCGGCTGTTCAAATAAGTATTTTTATATACAAGGTGTAGTTTTGAAGCCGTGTCATTTCTCGGGGGCATGTCACAGAAGTCGTAAAGGTTCAATGTAAGAGAAAGTTTCGGGCCAATAGTTAAAAATACGGCTATAATAAATCGTTTAAGTTCGACAGTATTTCAGAATAAGCGACTGCAATGTTTCTTATTGGAGTTTTATGGAATTAGGAATAATATCAATTACGTGTTTGAGTTTGTGTATGTTAAGCCGCGTTATAAAACTAGTTACAAGATGGCGGCGTGTAGTTCGCACTTACGGAAATCCGTAATTTACAAAAAAAAAAAATATTTACCTACAATTTTTTTATTGATTCGGACTCAGAATCGATATCTGAGTTACCTCCTAGAAAATGACGCGGCTTTAAAACAACACCTTGTATATGTATACAAACTAGCTTTTGCCAACGGCTTCGCCCGCGATCCCGTGGAAAAGTACCTCATGTGTTATTTCAGATTGTTATCTACCCTTGTTTCAAATGTCATTCCGAAACCTTTTTTTTTAATGCCGGTAAACGAGCAGACGGATCACCTGATGGTAAGCAATCGGCGTCGCCCATGGACACACGGAACACCAAGGCGTTACAAGTGCGTTACCGGCCTTTTGGGGATTAGGAGTTTGAGGATCATTGGGGATTCAGGTATTGGGGAGATTGGGGAAGGGGAAGGTAATTGGGCGTCCGGTAACCTCACTCACACGACGAACATACCGCTTTCCAATCAGCTTCATTCGCGTCAAAACAATCCCTTCAGCTGTTTGGACATGAATGACATATACATCACGCCTTGTAGCTCAGAAACGGGAAGGCGCTTGTCGCTTTTGGTATTTAAGTAAAACATAAAACCCTTCTCTTAAGATCGGGGCTCCGGCCCGGCGTGCAGAAGAAGAAACGGGGTGGTTTTTAGTCAGTCAGAGTCTGACACTCCCTCCCGCCTCACCCAGGCGGGAGCAGTCATTTCAAGATGATTTTCCCGGCTTAAAAAAAAGTGTAGCCAACACTTTTCTAAAACCGCATCAAGATCGGTTTAGCCAAAGAGTATGATTAATCAAGGGAAACTATAAAACGTCATGCTACGATCAATAGGAGCCGCACAGAGCAGGTAAAGGGTAAAGGTAAAGAAGCAGTTAGATTGTAAAATACAACTAAGTACGTTTTTTTTGTGTATTTGATAGGGCAACGTTTGACCACTATCTCGCCTGGTGGTAAGCGATGATGTGGTCTACGATGGAGCACGTCGTCCCATAAGCAACCTACTCACTCGGGCCTTGAAGACACCCAGGTATACCCTTCAGGAAATACAGACTCTGGCAAAGAATTCCGCTCGCTTAGCAGTACGCACAAGCAAGCTTGAGGCGGAGCGCTTCGTTCGTGTGTAATAAAAAAATATGAAACATGTACTTACGTCTTACATAGTCTGAAAACAGAAAAAAATGACGAAATTAGTGATTGTGTTTAAAAAAAGTAAATAATTTAACTTATAATCTTTTTTTCTCTCTCTCTCTCTGTTTTTAAACCTTTTTATTGTTATTTTTGTTCATGTCTTACTTATGCTAAATAAACAAATTTCATTTAATTTCAAATTCTAAGGATAGTAGGTATTTCATTGCAAAAAATAAATTAAAACAATAAAGACAATGAAGAAACAAATCTTACTTTCTTTTCCGGCGACATCGTGCCATGCTTAGCCTGAAATTAAAAAGTAAATTGTCAAAATAACTTTTTTCTTAAATTTTTTTTATATGTCAAGCTGAAGAGTGTTTTTTTTTAATTTTGTACACTATTCGCGGAGCGCATGCCACCCGCCAAGAAATACCTCTTCGAGAATGGGGATGATGACAGGGTATGAAAATTAAAAATATAATTAGTCCGTAACTTAGGTAATAAAAAAATATTAGACACGTATTTTTTTATTTTGTTGTATAATAAAACAATACTTAGATAAAACGAATCAAAGTTTAGGAGTGGGGGTTAAAACGTCATTTCTTAGTATAAAATGTACTGAGAAGTGACGTCACGCGACATTTCAAATCAATATATCTTCGAAACTATTCGTTTCCGTAAGAAAATAAAAAATACGTGTCTAATGTTTTTAAATAATCTACCAGACGGACATTAAAATAAAAATTAGTCGTCTACCCTATTACAATGCTTGATGTTTTGATAATGTACTATGAGTTCGCAAGCGTTTTCGAAGGCATGCTTTTTACAATAGTCCATCAGTTTTGTTTTCCCATCAACAGCCTATAAATGCCCACTGCCGAGCAAAGTCTCTTCTCACACGGAGAAGGTTTGAGCATTAACCACGCTTGCTCAATGCGGGTTGGCGATTACAAACTTATAATTAGAAATTATAAGCCCAGGTTTCCTTACAATGTTTTCCTTTACCGTTTGTCAGTGGTGTCTAGATAATCTTAGAAAGTACATATAACTCGGAAAAAGTTACATTGGTACTTGCCGTTGGTAGGTTTCGAACCGCACCCTCATGCATGAGAAGCGGGCGTCTTAACCTTCGAGCCCCCACGACACTTTTGTTTTACAGTTTTGTTTTAAACCTTTTATTTCTTTGTAAAATTATTGTATTATCGAGACAGAACAATTTTGCTTCGGGACGATAACGATATAAATTTCACGGCTTATAGGAATAAATAAGCAACATGAACACCATGTTAGAATCGGCACTGATACAAATTCAACTGCCAATGACAGACCACTGCTGGACGAGGGGCCTCCTCTACATAAGAGGGTTTGTAGTAGCCTGCACGCCCAGCAAACAGCTTCGAGACCGCAGTGTTAAAAAATGTCTTCAACCTATTTCTAGTCACAACCTAAACTCGAATTTACAAAAAAGAACTTACCAATTACGACACTATTATCATTTGGTACGAATTTAGATACTTTTAAAGCACGTTTAGTTATTACTTTGCTAACATTTCACGTTAAAATTTGTTAAATTCTTATGGTAGGTACCTAATAGAAAAAATATTGTAAAAAAAATTGACAGGTTCAAACCAAACTAAAATTAAACGAAAATCGGATTTTTTTACGTTAAATTCTAAATTTTAAATGATGACTTTTGAATTTCTTCTTTTCATTTGTCATTTTATAGAATCTATGGAAAGTGGCAGGTGTGCGGAATCGAGAAGGAAGGTACAAACCTTCTTTGTTTGGTATTAGAACTTCAATCAGTAATTTTCAAAGGCGGAGGTAAAGGTAGATAGGTTTTTTTGAAATGTAAACGAGCAGCCAGATCACCTGATGGTAAGCAATCAACGAATGAACACCAGAGGCGTTACAAGTGCGTTACCGGCCGTTTTAGGATTAGGAATTTGAGGATTGTTAAGGATTCAGGGAATTGGGGAAATTGGGGAGAGGTAACAAACATAACATCACGCCTTTTATCCCCGACAATGATCTCATGATCAATGATGTCATATTGGCCCGGATGTTTAAGACATGCATGAGGGGGCCGGTTCGAAACCTACCAACGGCAAGTATCAATGTGACTTTTACCAAGTTATATGTACTTTCTAAGATTATCTAGACATCACTGACAAACGGTGATTTGTAACCGCCAACTCGCATTGAGCAAGCGTGGTAATTAATGCTCACACCTTCTCCGTTTGAGAAGAGACTTTGCTTAGAAGTGGGCATTTATAGGCTGTTGATGATGATGGTGATGATGATCTGATCTTCTTTTTTCATTACTGAAGAAAGCATCTGCATAGCGATCCTTTCTCCGAGATCAATGACATTATCAGTATTGAGTCTCTGTTATCGCCATTCTTATTAGAACTTATTTACATAAC